AATCAAGGCAAATCAAATAATCTGCTTGATATGATATAATGAACGGATGCAAAGGACGGTTCTTTAATAAAAATAACCAATGTTAAAGGAAACATATTTGAATTAGAAGGAGTATAATGGCAGATTTGAGAATGGTCTAAAAATGAGAGTATTGCGCCTGTTTTTAATAAGAAAATACTCGTGGATGAAATAACCTTCTATTCATTTCGGCTTTGCGGTTCTGAACTTCTAATTTTTCTAGAAAATTGGCCCACCCTGTATAAATAGGCAACAGAACTCTATTTTTTGCACAAAATCATATGGTAGGAAAGTTTGTGGGGAAGAAGCATTTTGCGTCAGGTAAGTTCAAGATATTTCTGTAAAATTGCACTCACTGATTTCATCAAATCTCATCTCAAGCATTGTTGTACTAGAAATAAATTAAAAACTTAAATTGGAAAAGTTCCACCTCTTAAGTGGGGTAATACAAACTTTACGAATCTGAAACTTAAATTATGGGGACTAGTTTGGTAATTTGTTCGAGTATTTTATTAAAAAAACATCGATTCGGGTCAAATATTAATGTCCGCATCATCAGCAATCTATAATAATAAAAATGCTTCAACTAGCATTGAATTATACTGTCGCAAATAGTCAATAGTTAGTAACAAATAATTATCCAAAATAAAAACTAATAATGGCATGTCTAAATATAATTAATACAAAAAACAGTTACCTGACATAGAGTGACATATTGGAATTATTAAATAATACAATCACTCAAAGAAATATCCTGTATTCTTGCAGTCCATACTTCCCCATACTTCAAACGAAAGTTTACCTTTCCGGTTCCTTTCACTGATTAAACACGAGGGAGGAATCGACTTAATTAGAAACGAAATAAAAAAAGAATAAAGATCCGGCTAAAATAATATTTTTTTGAGCTAAATGGAAGCTGAGAATGAAATTCATTTCTCAGGGGGTTCAAAAACGCTCTTAATTGAAAAAAGTTTAAAGCTTCTAAAGGGAAAATGTTTCATTTCCGAGTCGTATAGATTTTACATCGAAAGGAGAGAGGTAATGTAAATTTTCTTTATAGCTCTGATATTACCTCAAAAATAAAAAGAAAGAACGTACTTCACAACTTTTCCACAGTATATATTACGTAAAATACATTATTATGATGATATTGTATACACATTTAGAAAAATACAAGGTTTTTCTTGAGTATGGGTGAGATAGAGTGGCCACTGTTACTCAATACCTATTAGGTACAAAGCATTACATCTACTAGAAAAGACCGACATACTAAGCAGTAGATACTATGAAAGCAAGATCAGTGTTGCACTGCACGAAACAAAGTTTCAACCATAATATTGTAAGAAACAACCATTTTGCGGGCTAAAGCCAAGAAGATTATTCATCAATAGAACCACCACCAACTGGTTTGGAACTATCACCTTGAGTATCCCATAGGTGATATAATAAGCTGTGCGGCTTATATTTAAACCACTCTCAATCTTCGTTCATAAATAGACATCTAAATGAGTAGATCATTCATCGAGCGTTTTAGCTACAGGAGCGGTCATCGAGCGTTTCACCTACGTTCATAGAGCGTTTCACTTAAGTTCATCGAGCATTTCACTTAAGTTCATCGAGCGTTTCACTTATGTTCATTGAGCGTTTCACTTACGTTCATCGAGCGTTTCACCTACGTTCATCTAGCGTTTCACCTACGTTCATCGAGCGTTTCACCTACGTTCATCGAGCGTTTCACCTACGTTCATCGAGCGTTTCACCTACCTTCATCGAGCGTTTCACCTACGTTCATCGAGCGTTTCACTTTCGAGAGGATTAATGTAGGGTGACTGTTAATGTCCATCCAGTTATTTATGTGTGAGTTGCTAACAACTAATGACTATCAAACAAGACCGTCGCTTACTGGATTAGTCTGAATCAACTAAAAATTTGTGTAGTTTTGTGTATGCTGAAAGGGTTTCTCGCCATTTATTCAGAACCTTTTAATTTTATGATAATTTTGCAAGAACGGATTTTCATTTAAAATTAATCAGCGATTTGTAAAATGTCATAAAACTAAAAAAGAACTGTAGGCGCTATATTGAATTAAAAAAGGGAACACTTTGTATATTTATATAGTCTAATTAAGGAAACTAATCACTAATTTAGTAGGTACTAACAGGTAGGTAGTGTTAACACTTTTAATATTTCTATAGAAAAATATGAACTCATTTTACGTCGATAATGCAAAATTTTCACGCCTATATTGCCCCTGTGACTGCCTGATCAAACAGACTGTGATTAATAAAATTTATTACACCCGTAATCAACTCGAAATTTATCATTTGCATCGTATAATTAATCAACCAATATTTGATGTGCTAGCGTTGTTAAAATTTCATGCCATAAGTACCGTTTACGAACTAGGGAGATTTATTTTTAATGCGAGCTGGATAAATAGATATTAAAGCAGATTACCTACTAAAAAATTTGGCTTGTATAGAAATGACAGAAAATATTATTAACGGCGGTAGAAATGACGCTCATGAAGAGGTAACAACAACACATAGAAAATGAAATGAAAATATCGGCTATATCCCAAATCAAGAACAAGAAATAGTCGATAACAGAAACAAAGTAACTGAATTGGCTTGAATCAGAATTAACAGGAAATAATGATACGCCACTGAAATTATTATTATTATTATGAGCCCTCTGAAATAAAATTGACGTTTTTCAACGTATACTACATTCCAGGTGGTACAATTTGTCAATAAAATTTTTCATTTCAATCATTGTTACAGTATACAGCAAATTTACTATAGACCCTATATACATTGGTGAATGTAGGTCACCTAAAATATTCATCTGCTACACTGTATTTGTGAGATATTTTGCCGCAGGTACCTGTCTACACATTAAAATTTCATTGCTGGATACGGCCGAATCTGTAAAACTAGGGACTAAATTTATACTATTACTGCCGAACTGAATTTTATTGTTGTCTGTGAGAAATTTGTTATCATTAAATTGTGTTTTGAAATTTTGCCAAAGTTGAACATTTGTCTGATAAATATAAAATTCATTTTTATTCCACCTTCAGACAATAATACAGGGTGAAAGCACACTAGTTTATTACGAAAATTTTGAAAACTAAATATAACAGTATAACAATACAAAAAATCAGTGACAAGAAGAATGAACAAAATTAATAACAAAAATAAGAAGAAACTCAAACAGCACTTTTGCATTTAAATACTATTTTGTTCTGCATGACGCTGACCACCATACCATTTTGTTTATTTGATATACCTTAAAAGATTTGTAGAAATAACATTTTCAGTCTCAATTGACAATTTCCATGACACGTGCCTGGAACGTTTCAAAATGTGATATGTTTTTATTGTATTTTGAATCAATATTGTCTAAAATGTACGGAACCACCTCCTGAAATTGTGACATGGTCTTAGAAACATCCTGTACATCCTCGGATAATTGAACTCTACATGCTAATGTAGTTAATTCACTTCGAGTATAACAATACGAAGGTTGCAATGCCAACATCCCATGGGGTTATTCAATGAATGCATGATTAATGTTAGCTTAAATGCCAAGACATCCAATACGTAAATGACATTGCACCCAAATCAAATTGGTTAATGGACGGTTGGGCCTAGAAATGGTATACCTTAGTTTAAAATAGCTACATCTTGCGAAAGGTCTAAAGTTCAAACCGAACGGTTTATAATGCGCTTGTGGCTCTAATCGATAGATTTGAAATATTCAACGGTTTCGACTATAGGTACAGTGTGTGTTGAGTGGAATTGTGAGACCGATATTATATTTATTATTAATCCGCCTAAATTGTGGGGCGGTTTTCTGATCAAAATAAAACTTGCACAGGATCAATTTCTTCGTATTTTAAAATTATACAGTGCGTTCCGTTTGTTCTGGACATTACTTAGCTTCATATTTTCATTTCGAACAAAACGGTCTGTGTATTATTTTGAACTTGTCGTTGAATTCTCCTCCAAGCAAGAAACATATCCTATTTGTTATTTACTTCACGGTTTTTTAAATAGAAAAATGGTATATTAGGTACATATACAGAGTGTTCCTCATAAGAGTAACTCTGTAACTTTAAAATTTATAAAAAAACACACAACGCACGTGCACAAGATGCACAAGGTCTGCTTACATTTATGGTTAATTTTCATAATTAATTTTCTCGAAAACATTTAGACTATCAATTGCTTAATAAAAGTTGCTCGTTTTCATGCCCTCTATCACCCTTTTCAAGGAACGAACTTATTGCAGAAACACCCTTTATAATTCTAAATTCATATAATCTTATCGTCTTTTCAAATTTTTAATTCAGTCAAAACCGACAAGTGATTAAACGACAAAGTAAACAATTTTCTACGCCTCATTAACTTAACGGAGCACTCTCGGCGGATGTAGTCCGGGAACTAAGGATAATTACGAGTATTAATCCTTACGTCTCCCGGTAATATAAAGTCCTTACATGTGACTGTAATGTATGACATGCATTAAGGACGTCGTTAAGGAGTGTCTCCACGCTGCAAGTTTGATAATAATGTTCCAACCAGTGATGTGGAGTTATATGAAGACATTACACCTATCCTTGAAAAGGGACTGTCGGGACTTGGGATTGAGGAGGACGTTTTATGGGTGTAAGACTGGGGTGCATATTTTAATATTTAATATTGGTATAAATGTCTCATTTCGAGATCTTTCAATTCTTGAGGGGCATTCGATTTCATTGCTGGCGCTGAATGGAAAACACGGGGAAAATGGATATTAAAATTAATGAGAAATTGTGACGGGTGTATATTTGTTTAAATGTGGCAGAAAAAAAGTAGCTAGTGTAAAACAATCGCGAATTGGTATACGGCGAAAGCAGACAAAATGCTGCGGCTGCAGAATAAATATGCTTTACGTACATCTATTTGCAATTAATTAATAATGCTTTATTTTTGCAGATACTTCCAGTCACAGCCCCATGAAGACAGTGTAACTAGAAGGTAATGGTTTTCTTTTTTTTATATACCTAATAATGCCTCTGTTTTATATATAAGTATGCTTAGTGGAAGAAAATTGAAGGTTTTTATTTTTTAAATCTTAAAGCGAAAGGATCATACGAAACGCCAACAAAATACCAATATCTTTAACAGCATTGAAATTTGCTGATATAACTAGGTGCTATGCCGCTTCACTAGAAAATTTTTCGTTATTAACCTAATCAATCCGCGTCGTAAATATTTCATTTGCAAATAAATCTAAGCAAAATTGAACTTACATTGAGTAAGTAATTTGCAATAAACCATACCATAAATTTCCAGGGCCTAATGGAAAACGAACTATCAAACTAATGTACGGTAGTAAACGACAAACTGTTTTCAAGGACAACACAACTGTAATATTTCTCATCAACGCAAAGTGTAAAATAAATAAAGCACGTGTGTAGGTTACTCCACAATCGCGTAAGAGCGTATTCGAATAAATTATATTTACGAATACAAAATGTGAATCAAAATACTATTCAAAATTTGAATGAGTATTGTATTATGAATATTAAATGATCACGAGTGAGATTAAGTTTAATTTATGTAATTACAAGGATATTCATTAATTCGCTGAATACAGATATTCAGTATATATTTAATTTCCATTTATAAATATTTAAGATTTAGAAGAGAACATAAAACTCAAATAACACCTAAAGTAAGCTTCTGTATGCATTGGAATTCTTATTGATTTTTTAGCGAATAATAATAATACTGAATATTTTAATCATACAAATTACTGCTTTTAATTTATGTACATCAATTACGTGAATACACAAGTATTCAGTAATAATTATTTACTGAATATTTACTGTCTATGTTACAATTCGCTTAAATATTACAAGCATTATTCATATAATGGTACTTCGTAACCATTCAACAAGAATACAAAATATTCATTTATTAGGTACTGAATATAATGTATTCAGTAAATATTCGTATTTAATTACTTTCTACACAATTCTGCTTTTAATTTATGTACAACAAATAGCACAAGAATTGAATAATGATTATTCACGGAACACAGATGTCCAGTACAAATTTTATGAATAGATTATTGAGTAATATAACTTACGTATTCGTAAATACGAATTAGAAAGCAATAGGCGAATTGTAAAATGAAGCGTCTTTAATCAATTAACAATGGTTTTCTAACTGATTTTCGACAAGATAAGCTTCATTCATTTAACTGTAATTAGTATTCGCAATCATTCAGTACGAATAAAGAATATTTAATATCCACAAACTTTCTATGAATACAGAATACTGTATTCACAAAGTATGTACAAAGTCAGTATGTGAACTACAAAGTGATGAGCGAATTATAATGAATACAGAATAGTGTATTCGTAAATACGAAATAGAAAGGAATAGGCGAATTGTAATATGAAGCGTCTTTAATGAATTAACAATGGTTTTCTAACTGATTTTCGACAAGATAAACTTTATTCATTTAACTGTAATTAGTATTCGTAATCGTTCAGTACGAATAAAGAATATTTAGTTTTCACAAACTTTCTATGAATACAGAATACTGTATTCACAAAGTATGTATGAAGTCAGTATATGAACTACAAAGTGATGAGCAAATTGTAACGAATACACAATATTTAGTATTCACAAACTTTTTATGAATACAGAACAGTGTATTTACAAACTATGTACAAAATATTCATTATTCGCACATTTTTACGGACACTGGTTTTTAGCAATCACGAAATAATGTTTTTACTACTCTTTATTCCAACTCTGTCCGCTAATATAAACACAAGTCAGTAAAAGGTTTTAATTAAGCATATCAGCAACAGTTTCAATTGTTGCCAACTTGATGGATTGATCTGCAGGCGGTATTAATTGCCAGGGGATGTTCCCCGTTTGTTTTAGGCATCTAAGTTTGCATTAACTCTGTTTTCAGCAACACACTTCCCCTAGAGCGGTCCTATATTTCTTGTTGGGGTATGTCGCTTTAGTTCATTGTTAGGCAGGAATATTTGTTGGGATTTATTTTATACTGTTTTATCAAAACCCTCATGGGGGGAGAAGATGTGAAGTTAAAGGATCAGCAGCATAAACAGATTTATCATTAATGAAGGATTTCTATTTTATTTACCAACAAGCCTTTTATGTTCACATTGCTCTTGCGGGGAACTTACTAACTGCTGTTATTTATTTCATAGTGAATTTAAAACTGTTAAATGCGCTTTTAGCAATATAATTAGGGTTTAAAACAACGTTCACTTTTGATGATGCTATAGTTGCGGCATGTTAGAATTTCCTCGAGAATTTCCATATGTAAAATCTACAGTACACTTACTGACCTCTGGTATTGGGGTATCCAAATCCAATAATACAGGCTCAAATGTAGCGATAAATACATTTGGTAGATAAAACAAAATACTGTTTAATTTAACAGAGCAAATTAAATGAACTCACTTTTAAATTTTATTATGTGTTTGTTGAATTCGTCCTTTATACAAATTGTGGTAAATATAAAAGTACGCCAATATAGTTATTATTTTAAAACCTATTTTTATTTGTTTTTAATTTAATTTATAACATCATGTAACAAAAATACTCTGTATCTTTCCTTGTTCAATACTGGAAACAGTGTTAATTTACCCTGTTGCATTAATAAAATGCTGTTTTGCTAAAATAAACTATTTTGTGTTTAAAAACATATCTATATTCACATTTGAATAAGTACTACTTTTAAACTAAAACCGATAACATTGTGTCGTATTATATAAGCTTAAGGTATTCCTTTTGACTGTAAATTTTCGCTGGAAGTAACTTGCCAATGTTTCGAAAGCAGTTTTGCATATTAAATGGAACAAAATGTATCCGGGCATCAGGTGTTTTCAACCTCTAGTATAATCAAGTATTGAAATTTTATTACGAGCAAAATAGAATTTAAACTCTTCCCTATATACATTACCTCTTTGTTCGAAACAAAAATTGGATCCTGAGATTACACTGACATATATAAAGTGAGTTGATTTTAATGTATAAAATTTTAGGAAAAGATAAGAACACTAGTCTTAGCTAAAAATCATTAACTTGCCCTTGTTGTTCTCGAGTTAGGTTCTGTAGAGACAGACACGCTATTAGAACCCGTCTTGTGATGTGAGGTACAAGGCGTGGCCTCGGGTACGCACGCATTTAGGCACACGGAGCGCAGTAGTGGGCGGTGCCACTTGCGGTACCAATGATGTGGACCTGTGGAGTGAGTTAGAGGGCGTGGCTTCAGGTACGCTTCCGCCTCCGCTGCGCGTTTCTCTATGCCTGCGCAGTAGTATGGAGCGTGTGGTCTCACGCAATGCGCAGAAAGAAGAAACCAGCTGAAAAATAATTCAACATAAATATAAATATCTTGAGATAAGCAAAACTTCAGTAAGTGCAAATAAAATACTAGTTATACTTGTAAAGGTATTGAAAACGTAATTGTTTTTCCTTCAGGCAAGAGGTGTAGTGGAACAATAAATACGAAATCTGTGCAGTCTTTTAATTTTTTTCGCCACTCAAATTAAAAGAAGTAAATATTGTGCATATGCACTGCCAATGGAATGGCTGAAAGTGACTGCTTTGTACTTCTTCGACAATGCTCCACGAGATGGCGCCTGTTTTTACAACCAACATCAGTCTCCGCTAGTAACAAATCCTTGCAAATACTTGATTAGATTTCGATAAATAGAAAGTAAAAGGAATATAAAATTCGAATTACTGTGACATTGGCTTTTGAGTATACTTGCGACATTGAAAAATCCTATTAGATATCCCTCACATTAATTTTTATAGAACTGTAAGTACACGCAAATTTATTTCAAGGTCTAAATCCATATGCCGCATAGGGATAATCGAAAGTATAAAAAAAGCAATTTGTCCTCCCGTATCCGCGCAAATTGTCCTTTCTGTTACATTCTACGCAAATATTTAACATATTTTTACATTCGGTAATCCCCACATAAAGGGGTCGCGAGATAACCCAAGGGGTTCTCATTCAGGAAAACGCGGGATTATGGTATAATCCTGTACTCACCATTCGGATCATTGCGATAGCGACAACAAAACGTTATTGTTTGATGTCTCTCACACGCGCTCACGTATTCTAAGGGCTGTTTTTTCCGTTTATGTAAAAAATATGCATCTGACAGTAAAGTGTTGACGTTGATTTTTCTTTGTCACGCTTTATATGCTTCACCGTGTCGCTTTCAGATGCATTCTTTGCGCTGTATTGGAATTTATATTGTCAGACTTTGTTTATACTATGACCATATTGGGTAGATCCTACAAGAAAGGCAAATACTTACCTAATTTTCTTTATTTTTATTGTGCTAGTTTACACACAAATAAATGTAATAACAACTAATTAATAAATTTACACTTTATACTACACGCAAAAAAATTCTTGATTCAAATGTACAACGTTTGATTTTAAGGTATCGCACGTTTATACAGGGTGTTTCAAGATTAAGTCGACAAACTTTAAGGAGATATTCGTCATAAAAAAAAATACGAAAAAATCAAGTATAATTTTTTTTCCAGAGACGCTTCATTTTCGAAATATAGGGCGTTAAAGATTTTTAAAAAAATTTCGAATTTTTTAAATAACTTCTAAATGAAGAAGGATATTTAAGCCAAATTTGGCTCGACACATCTTCTTATAAGATACCATTTTTTTATAGAAGTAGAAGTCCCGCGAGCAACCAGTGGTGGAGTTATGGGGACTCAGACTCATTAAACTATAAAAAAAATTAATACGGCCCTACTGAAAATAAAAAATGATGCTGTTTTTAGATAGAACAGTTTGTTATTGACAAAAAGTGTACATTCAATTTCTTTCCTAACTCTTATAGTTTCATGGCAAAATTGATTTTTCGGAAGGGTGCTTCTGGATTCTGTCAATAAACTTTAGGAAGACGTTCCTCATAAAACCTAAAAAAAAAATATAGTACCTATTA